TTTATTAATATTTAAATACTATTTTAATACCAGAATATTGTACACTACTGAAATTTAGAAGTTCTCAGAGTTATAAAGGAAACTGTAACTATGTAACTAAGGCAAAGTGTTAAGTAATTCAGCCAAGTGAAACATTAGTTAGTTTTCAATGTTAGAATTTCGTAAGTAAACATTGGATCAAACACAACTACCGAACACTCAACATTATCCACTACATTTACGCACACTGCGCAAGTATTAATAGCCTACAGTGTGTAGTCTAACTCAAACCAAGTATAGATTAATTAATCACACCACATTTGCAATCAACTAATACCATCGGGAGACTAGCGCTATGATTATTAGCGTAACATTTGCTCGAGTTGTGACGCGACAGGTTTCGAAATAGAAAATGGAGAGTTCGAAGGACTGCTCTCTGTCTGGAAAATGGAAAATAGGGTAAGAGTGGAGGAATTTTCTTCGAGGGGATAGATCGCCTCTGAGGTTTGAAAAAATTCAATCCGTTTTTGCTGAAATTGAATTTTAATGAAAAATTTCCATGATTTTATGTTATTGGAGCTAATTTAACGAACTGTGTCACCGAACTATCAATAAGGAATCGAAATTTTAAACGCGTTCTTCTCAGAATGATACTTTTAAAACCGATAACGTTTAAAATTTTCATCCGATTCACTTGAAATTTTCGTAAAGAACTTTCTGTTATATAATCTAAAGAATTGCTTACGAATTTTGTAATACATTTGAAACTGCTTCTGCAATTAACATTTCCGTACTAAAATTTTAGAGAAATATTGCGAATCTTTTTTTCATACTTTCACCACTTCTATAAAACTTAATATTTCTTAAAAATCCTACGTACTTCTGTAGTAATTGACATGTAGATGATGAAAATTTTGGCTACTTTGTTCTAACAATAAGTCAAACCGTCTGAAATAGAGGTTAAAGAAATTAAATGAAACAAATATTTTCACATTCTCTAAGAGCAATATAATAAAGCCGTTATGAAAAGTTTTCAATTGTGTCAATTATTTTCTTGAAAAAGAATACCGAAGCTAGGTATCATTTTCAAGCCTCAGGAGTGGTCTAACCCCATAAGGGAACGTTCTAAATGGAAATTGGCTTGAAATCCAATCCAATTTTTCGAAATCAAATTCCAAAAATTGGAAACGTCTAATAGAAGAGTGTTTCATAGAAGTAAGTTCGACTAAATTCCACTAATAGTTATTCAAAAAACGATTCCTATAGCTGTACCCTGTTCTACATTGTAATTCTTCAAGAAAGTATCTGTAGAAAACTTCGAAACATTTTCCCTAGGTTCGATCTGATGTACGGAGTCACAGAGTCAGAGAAATTCCAGATTCTACCCCCGGTAGCTCTGCTGCACGGTATGGTGGACGGACAAAGAGACGAAGTGCTAAGAGAACACGCCAAGGTACGTTCATCATCTGGTAAAAAGTAGAAGAAGCATGTTGCGGATGTCAAGGATTAAGCGTTACGATCCCTTTCATCCCAATTTTCCTCGCATCCAGAAAATTCTTTCCGGGCGTGATTTATGGCTGGTAGAAATTGGTATACACGAGGGGTGGAACGAACGAACGGAGTTTCGAGTGAAAATATTCGGTGCGCGGGACCGATATTGAATTCGGTGAAATTCACTCGACGCGAAGGGATAACAAAGTGACGCGATATTTCTTGGTCGGCAGGCGACGCACGAGCTGGAACCTGAACTAATTCTATCGAAGATTCTGGAACAATACAGCGATTTCTCCGCGGGTTTCACGAACGAGTACATGCTGAAGAATCGGGATCTGGTGCTCGAGGCGCTCTCCGACAGCGGTACCGTCGCGCCATTAATAATGACCGCGAATCTCCACTCGAGGGCGAACCCCAAGAGCTACATGTACGTCTTCTCCCATCCTAAGGCGATGCAGGACTACTCTGGCGTAAGTACGTCCCTCCGTGGCTAAGAAAGACAAGCATCTGTTAGAAGTGATTTAAATAATGGAGGTTTCGATGCTGGAAATAGTGGAAGTTGGTTGTCCTGGTGGTAAATTATCTCGTCGATTATTGGGAAGTAGTCGTCCTTGGTTTGATATCTGTAACAGGGTGTCTCACAGGGTGTCTCACTTATAATCAAATTCTAAATTATTACAGCTGGCATTGAAGATAAGAAAAAACGACCAATGGAAGTTTATATGGTTCAAGTCATGAAAGTCATTCCAAGGTAATCGACATATTTTTATACACATTTCGACGACGTTGGAATGACTTTCAAGATGATTTCGGAAGAACTTCTTTTATCTTCATCAAACACACGTCTTGAAACTGTCACATGCGTAACAGACGTCGCTTGGGTTGTTCGGCCGTACCATCGGTATTCCCGATAGACCAGCACGTCCCAAAAAAAGCGAGGTCTTAGTCGGCACGAAAAATACTTTACGACACCCAAAAACTCGTCGCCTCTCACACCTGAACACCACATGATCTAAGATCATAAACAGACCTCCAACAAGCAATATAACAAATGTAAGAACAAATTCCCCACACCCCAAACGCACCGAAAAAACCAATCACCACACACTTCAACCACCTACGACAGCTTCACACCACCAATCACAACACACACGTAGTTTATAAAATAACGAACACCACACGACACCACACACAATTTTCCGATGGGTAAGCTTAGGCATTTCGCGCTCTGTTCACGTTCATTCACAAATACATAGTTTTAACAGCAAACTGTTGTGCGTTAATAGTAAATATCTTCCGAGCACTACCTGAGTCCCCTATCCCGAATAGATTCCTTAATTGGTCTGACTCAAAAAGAGGGACAATTATCGGTTTCGCAACAAGCACATCGCGATTCGTAACAAAACCATATAAAATTTCCGCGCTCAGTTTTTCTTACCTTCAACACCAGCGGCGATAATTTAAAAGTTCAAGACGCCCTTGGGGTAACTTTTTTTGCACATTGACTTCTGTTCTTTATAATGCAACGTTGTAGCCGACAAGACGAGTTCAACTATCTGTGACTTTATGGCCTTAAAGTGAACTCGAACGGCGAAGAAAATGTCGATCAGCTTGAAATCACCTACAAGATGACTTTTCTTTTATCATCACCAGAGCATGTACTCAAATCGTATATGATTTCTTCTTCTTACTCATTTTTTCTTACATTCAATACTAACGAAAATAATATTAGATGCACGTTACAAGGGAGCCACCCGACATGTTTAACCGTTTTGCGTCTACTTCCATTTTCCTGAATTTATAAATAAGTGAACTCTACGAGAGATAAATTAGAATAGTGATTCAGGCACGAGAATAGAACAATTTACTTATCGGTCGTACAAAGTTGATCCGTATCTTCGTGCATTCAGCATTCAATCCTGACACCAGCTGAAATTCGTGACAACGGAGTACATTCACGCAGCCGTCTGGACGAATTCTTCCAGGTCAATGACCTATGAGGTCAACGGCCTCTAATCGTCGCTATTATTCCTCGTAAGAATTGGAACACGTACGATTAGACGCTACACTTTACACTGTACACATTGTATTCGTTTTATTCGTATCCTCTGGGATTCCTTGGCGGAAACAGAGAGCGTGACCCAGTGTCAGTTCGTCGGTGGGGATTCGCCAAGCACTGAGAGAAAAATCCCAGCAACGAGGCCCATTTGGACGCCGGCCAACTATTTTTATCGGTGCTGCGTGCCGGCCTGTTACGCTCTGTCCGAGAGTACAGTGAACGCCCGGCGTCGTTAAACCGAATGTAACAGCGTTTCTGCTTTTCAAGCTCCATCTCACGGCTCTATCCGTTAGATATGAAATTTAGGAACGATAGACAGGGCCGCGAGACCTTCCCTGCTGGAAGGCAGCGGTTTGTTTCAACGTTATCTTGCCTCCATTGTTACCGTTCCGCTACTCAAACCTTCGAAAAATCGACCAACATTTTTCGACGATTCACCTGTAAGGTATCTTGCGATGGATAAAGAATTGTTCTTTTTGGATATTTAACTTTTGATTCACCAGGGTAGATTTTTACGAGGTCAGTCCTGGTAACCAGCTTTGAAACAAGATTTGCTTCCTTGAAATGTAGTAATTACGGTAATAATAATGACAACCGACTGGAGTTGCTACACACGGTGGGTTAAGTAAAACAGACCACTCAATTATATCTTCTTTAAATGGCTATGGTGGTGTGAGGAAATGTTTATACCTAATATAAATGGTTTCGAAGGGTAAATAAGGTGGAAGAAAAATTTCTTTCAAATGCCATTTTTTCTGTTCAAAGTCAATTATGTCTTTTATATGAATGTTTATATTGTTTTTACTATATGTGATAACAAATACTGATGTGTATTTAATCGTGCAAAATAATATAACCTTAACCCCTTAACCTATGATTTCTCTTCTATCCGTGCATCTAAGCGTCAGCCATTTTACTGTTTCAGTACTGTACCAGGTAACAAAAGCTAATCTGTTGCAGATTAATTACATTTAATAATCCTGTGTTACAAATTCAAGCGAAAGTTAGTATTGCAATGAATTTTTCTTACTAATGTAACTATTTTTCTCACGAGAATCTCTGCCACGAGTCTGAAACGTTGTCACAGGTTAAGGGGTTAAAATGACCTTGGACTTTGGAAACTTCGTTTCAGTTTTTGCCATTTCTTCCATCGAGAAACTTTTCCTTCCACCTTACTCATCTTTTGAAACTATTTAAATTGCGTATAAAATTTTCTCCTACCGCCATAACTAGAGAAGATAATTTGGTGGGCTGTTTTACATGGCCCATCTTCTACAATGGTTATCGTTACTGTTTTCAGATTCCGATGTTTCTTCGATCGCTGCTCCCTCGACTTTTACTAAATGATGTTTGATTATGAACCTTCCAGCATTTGAAATTTCTCTTTTCAAAGGCTCCTTAATTATTCCGTGTTGCGAGACGTAAATTTTCCTGACTTCGGAATACCTCGATTCCCAGGAAAATTAAATTACACGCGCTTTCATCCTCCAGTGTACAAGAATATCTTTCTAATTTCGAAATGAATTTGTACCCAATACAACGATCAATTGCAATAACCGTACCGCAAAGGGGTACAACTTCTCCAATCTCGATCGCGAAAGATACTGGAACAATCATCAGTCCGCGATCGTCCATAAGGAAACGCGTCCATCGAACGCAATCGATTGTCCAGCGGTGTAGCAACGGGGTCGACTGACTCGCTACTACCGTGCAGAGAGGCGGAAGTTAATAACAATGGCCGCGGTTCGGTCGAGAGGAGCGCACTTGACCGTTCTTCTGGACCGCGAAATTTTGGCGAGAACTTTGTTCCCACGTACCACGGCAAGTATATCGAACCGCGTGCTCTTGTGTGTTGCAGCAACAACGTCAGCGCACTATGCACGGCGAGGAGTTGCCGTACGTGTTGGGTGTGCCTCTGGACGGTAGCAAATACGATTTGCGTCGCAGATACAACATCGGCGAGACACTTTTCTCAGAGGCCATGATGAACTGGTGGTGCAGCTTTGCCTACTCAGGGTGAGTTATTTGCCGTTTCTAATAAATGGAATTAACCCAGTTAAAATCTCAAGACACAGGGTAATTCCTCGTTGAAAAATGAACAGAATGTGTGCACCAGATTATTTTCAGGCGAGCCTTCGTTTTCGAGAAAATCGACCTCGAAAATTCGTGGCGTTGCGTGCACTCTTTGAGCCATTTGGATAAATTGGATAAACCTTACAGAAAATAAGACGAAAAGGGTAATTAGGAGTAAGAAGAGATATTAGATTGGAAAAGGTATCACAAATAAATCGTCAAGTGTGCAACCCCACGAATTTTCGAAGTTAATTTTCTCCCAAACGTAGCCTCACATTGGAGAACTTCGTTGTACGTCTACTATTTACTTCTTTTCGCAGAAAATAATCCCGACCAAGCCCGTATAAATGGACGACAAAAGAAAAGAAAAAAAAAAAGAACCTCGATTTAATTATTTTTCGATCTGCATTCGAAATTTCTCCACAGCTCCATTATTTTTCCTTTGAATTATATTCCCCGGAGATTTCCTCCCCCCTGCAATTAAATAAACTAAAACGGAATAAAGCTTCCAATACGAATTATGCTCCTAGCCAATCGCCGGAACGACCGTTCCAGTTGCGAGGAACGGTGCAACGGCGAGATTTAACAGGGCCGCGGCTCTCTGTTTGGAAAAATAATTACAAGTGGCGCAAACAGGGCCAACGCGTGACCATGGTTGGAAAGGGCCGGCGGTGAGGGGCGGGTAGGTGACGAGGAAGTGTTGGTGGGCATAAATATTCAGAGGCGCGTATAATTGAAAATCATGTTTGAAAGCGCGTCAGTCTATTTTCCGTCGGTCGACTGATAATGAATTTTCCGTGGCGTGGGTCAGAATTCTCCTCGTCGCTCTGTCGTGAAATTGTTTCGCCTATTATTCAGGCGTTTCTATAAAATTCCCCGAGATTTATTGTACAGCAGCCGGAGAAAAACGCCACCGGCTTACCCGCGCGGACGTGTCGTTATACGTTTTCGAATTTATTATTTAATAATCGCGACGAACTCGCTCGGTTTCTCGCTAATTTCACGCTGTGACGTTATAAAGAACGCAGCAGCGTCGAGCGAGATGGCCCCGCGCAAATTTCCCGTCGCGTCCCACGCGCCATTTTGAACAACGTTTCGAACACTCGAGGGCTATCGCGGCCCTTCAATTTGCTTTTCGAATGAAATTCCGTTTTAATGGAGCCAGGAATGAGGGATCAGCGATTAATCTCTGGCGGTTTGGAAAATTTCTAACGAAGTTAGCTGTTCCTTCGCGTAAGATCGGTCATGCTGTTCAAATCTGCGGACGATAAATTGCGATGATTAAAACGTGCACCGGTTAAATGGTCTGCGATAATTAAAACGTAGGTTAAATGGAGTGGTCGCGAGGCGTTCGATCGCCCATTTTATTTACTATGCGTACGTGTTATTCGGTGAATTATTACAGGGCCATCGGATCGGGAATAAGGGGAATTTTTTCACGTTCGATTCGTTTAATCTGAGTGAGAACGTTAGAGTCAGAGAATTTATTCGCCGGCAGGGATAAGTATCGTGGAAATTTGGAGCTTTTAAGTGGAAGCGTGCGATTAATCTTCTCCTAGGCAATCGATCGCTTCCATCATTCTGGCGCATCCTCTCCGAAGATCTCGCGAAACTGTAACTCAGGCGCTACTGTTACTAATTTTCGTGTCTTTCAAAGGGAATTTAGATTGTAGGACATTCAAAGGGTTTCACTTCCTATTTTGCAATCTCTCTGAAGTTTCGTAATGCTGAATCGAAAATTTGAAGCGCATGGCTACTTAAGGGAACGGGGGAGAAATTGAGCATGCTTAGGAATACGAAGGCGCGAAATGAAAAATAGCGAAGATGAAATTACCATAGTAGTCCGAGCAGGAGATAAACTGCATAAGAATATTCTCGATAAATATCAGACCCATGGGATGATTAGTTTTTAAAATATTCCAGAACTCCTTCGATCTTCATTTGCACGAACTATAGCTATAGGACACGTCTCTCTTTAAATTCGCATAACTTCCTTAATTTGCGGAATTTCCCGGAATATCTTTCAGTTCCTTTTTCTTCACACTAAGACGTTCAATTAATATAACATAAATCCATTGAAATGAAACATTTTTATTTAAAATAATTTCCATAATGTTCTATACACTTTTGTCAACGTATTACAAGAGCATTAATTTCCTATATAGAAGAATCCGAATTTCCAAAAGAAGTATACTGCTGAAAGGCGTTTTCAATATCCTCCTGTTTGCTAAATTCTTTTTGTATAAGAAAATTATCAAGTGAGCGGAAAAAGTGAAAATCAGATGGAACTAAAACAATGGAATATGGAGGATGAGGTAGAACTACAATTGATGTCATTTTTGTATAGTTATCTGGCGTTGTCATGCAAAAAAATAAGGCCTTTTCTATTGACCAGGGCTGTACCTTCCATTTTTAGTGGATGACCTTCAATTCGTTACTGTGTGATTCTACAGAGATAGTGGTTCCCGGATTTAGGAAACTGTAATGATTTAATTTTGAACTAGACCACCAAACTACAAGCGTGATTTTTTTCGGGTATAAACTTTCTTTTCTCTATCTTTTTCTTAGAGATTCGGATTTTTATGTACGCGGAATTAATGCTCTTGTCATACGTTGACAAATATGCATCGAACATTATAGAAATTATTTTAGACAAAAATTTTTAATTTCAACGGAGTTATGTTTTCTCCTTTTAAATGAACGTCTTATTATTAAAGGGACGATTTTATGATACGTGATTTCTAGTTCAGCAAACCGTTCTTTTTAATATAGCAGACCGGTCTGCAGCCAACATGCGGCACGTAGAATTTCTCAAATGTTAAAGAATAGGCTATTGTTCAGTCAGTAAGGCAAAGTATCATAAAGTCACCCCCAAAGGGTCTTCGAAACCGATGCAATTACCGAGGCCTCCCGGTACAAAGAATATATTGATTCTGCGGTAGTTTTTTTTTTTTTTTTGTTGATGTTCGTAGAGAATGTCTGTTAGGGCAGCAGGGGGACGATTTTATGATACGTGATTTCTAGTTCAGCAAACCGTTATTTTTAATTTAGCAGACCGGTCTGCAGCCAACATGCGGCACGTAGAATTTCTCAAATATTAAAGAATAGGCTATTGTTCAGTCAGTAAGGCAAGGTATCATAAAGTCACCCCCAAAGGGTCTTCGAAACCGATGCAATTACCGAGGCCTCTCGGTACCTGACCTTCCGAATGAGTCGGAGAGTCAGAGTTGACCTGGCCAGGTTTTCCCCCCTTGTTGTCAAATTTCCGTCCAGCAAGAACCAGCTTCGTCACCCCAGCTCCAAGGACGTGACGCGCTCCGGGCGCAATGAAAGGGGGTTATACGGGGTTGGTCACTTAGTAATTTTAAGAACCTCCCTTCGCGTCCCTTCTCCAAATCTTCTAAAATTTGAATAGGAAGGCCGATAAGAAGGCCGACTTAGTTTAAGACCACAGAGTGTTAGTACACAGACCATCAGTTTCATTAGGAATATTAAAGATTCAGTCAGACTCTCAACGCAATACAATCAGTCTTCAGACGGCACCTAGTGCAATACTCGAAGTACGCGGAAATTAGTACCCGAGTGCTTAACAACTCCAAAATAATTTGAATTTGTTTCTCTGACGAGCGACCCTCTTAAAATGTTCATCGATCAAACCGTTACACCTTCCAGAGAGAACAATTACGAAAAGCCATGAGCGATTTATCTTAACGAAACGAATGCACGTGGGAATGGATGTAGAAAGGCTTGGTAAAAATTGCTATTCACCGGAAGTGCAGCGTTCGGGGAAAATAAAGCGGCGATCTCGTTTCGCTTCGCAATACTGGCTGCCAGCAATTTGACCCTTGTTATTCTGACACCGGTTATTGGTGAATTAACGACCCGATACGTCGGCCATTTTAATTTTCTCGATACAAGCGGATTACGTATATATACAAATTACTCGTACATTTCATTTCGACCGGAGTGCCGGAGGGTGGGGAGAGCTCCCTCCGGCCCGGGCCAATCGATTCGGCTGTTTTATCTTCGAAAGCACGAAATTTCCATCGTATTTCATCGTACGCGTCAGGAGATAATTTTCGGAAACGAACTCCGCCGGCAATATCGCGTGCTAGTCGCCCCTTTTTGTTTATCTCGTCGATTCGCGCCGCTTTTCTCCATCGCTGCTTCCCTATCGATGAACCTTTGTATCGGTGTTACATATTGCGTGCGTATAATTTCTTTCGAAAATGTAGAATAATCTATCGAGTCGACGATACGTCCTTCGAAATTGGACGATTTTTACAAACGAAAGAGACACCGAAACATGTTAAACATACATTACACGGACGTTCTAAAAATAAAATTGTAATTACCGTAATTGATAACTGTTCGATTGAAATGATTAATAAGCGTAGTCGTAACTGAATAACTATTGCCAATAAACGGATGGAGATGTATTTGCGGGTAATATTGTACGTTCAATCGAATTATCACAAACGTAGAACAACTTACAACTGCGTGGAAAACGTGTTTAAACGTATTTAAGCAATTTAATTAGAACATTACTGAGAATAAACCGTGCAAAATTCACCCCGACAATTTTCAATGAATTAATCAACAATTCAAAGTGTAGAACAATTGATAATATTATTCGTAACCACTTTCACTTACGTTTCCACGTTCCACTACGTATTTATACAACCGCCGACCTAACGATCAATGAAACACACTTGAATCAAAAGTTCCTGTATTCGTTCCTCCACTTGCGGCCACAAGCACGTAATTTTTCGCCCGAGATGGAGATGCATATGCATCGCAAGGCGTTGAGGGAACTGGGTCGATCCAATTAAGCGAAACAAAGCTGTTTAATGCACGCGGCGACGGCATCGGCGGCGTCGGCCGAAGTAGACGCCGTGTGTATTCTACACGGGCCGTGACATCGGCTGATCGATATCGCGCGTGTCACTGTGTCCTCCTCGTAAGAATATATCTACCGCGTTTGCTACAGTGCACATGGTGCACGAGGGCGTGGCGCATCTCTGAGCTACTTTATCGCCAAAAAAACGGAGAATTTTTAACTCGTCGAGGCGCTAAAACCAAACTTCACTTTGATAGTTTCAATCTGCAAAAATATTCGAAGAACTTGTACGCAGGATAATGTAGTTTCACGCTTTTTCTGATAAATTTAGCGCAAACTGAAGCACACCCATCCCTCCATTTACGCGGATTGACCGTTCCGCGTTGATTTCTTTACGCGCATAAAAGTCGCGCAAATAGAGTCTGCTTGTATGAAAAGAAAACGTGGTAAGATAAACAGGTATAAGTTATAAAAACATTTAAATCGCATAGGTTAATAAAAAAATAATGGTATTTCAGAAAACCAAAATAACTGTTATTCGGTGTTAGAATCTGTTGGATTATTTCTAACAACACCCTATGGAAATAATCAAGTGAGGACAAAAATGTCTCCGGGTTATTTTAAACAAAGGCACTAAGACTTCCACCAGATGCATCTGGTGTCCGTCTTCGAGTCACTCACTGCACAATGCCATACCATAGTGTAAACAGTTTCTAGGTATAAGGGGACCCCAACTTTCTTTTGGGTGCCCAGAAACAGTCCTTCAGAAGATTCAATAGAGTAAAGATGTTTCCTCTGAGACCGTAAATAAATCATATATTACAAAGATAAAAGACTATTTCATTCCACAACCCATTTCCAATAGAATCTGTTCTGTAAAACTTAAATTGTTGGACATGAGGTTAAAAGAAAAATTAAAGGAGCTAGAATCTAAATTATTTTACAGAAGGTAAATCAGGCTGTTTAATTGAAAATTGTGTAATTATAGAAGCTGTGTTTTTAAATAAACTTTCACAGTGTCGTTCAGTATGAAAAGATCGAAAAAGTATGGCTTGTATGCGTGGTAATAAATGTACAAATTCTAGGTCATCCGCAGTGACGTGTCTGACCACGTACGCTCATATTCTACTTGCCCGTCTACTGTGACTGCCAAGCAACACGAGGCAGCGGAGTATGTCATGAATTGCAGGACCATAACATTTATGAATTACTCTAACTCTTCAGGAAATTAGTTCTATTTAGTAACGCTAAATTAAGCAGATACTATAACGCAGCAGGATATTCTATCAGTTCCGTTAATTTCTCACTCGAAAATCAAAACTCGTATATATTATTTGGAAGGTACTACAATTTTCAATCGCTGGATAAAGTTAGCGTTCTGAATTCAAATAAATTATTGTTCTCTCCTATTACGTTGGTACATATGAAACGACAGCCTTTTAAATGAAATTTTTGATATGTTGTGTTTCTTCAAAAAATAATGTAGCTAATCAAAATAATTTCCACTGGATTCTATACAATTTTCCCGACGATTAGCTTCATTATTCGAAATTTATATAAGTTTTTGACTGAAAAAATTCTTTGAATGCTACTTTTACAGTGTCTTCATTTCGGAATAATTTGTTTGTCAAGAAACTGTTCAGATGTATGAAGAAATGGTTGTCTGTTTTGGAGAGGTCTATTGAATAGGGATTGTTGTCAATAATTTTTCTTAAAATATTCCTATCGACAGCGATATTTCGTCCACCTCTTGGCACATTTCCAATGAAAAGTCAACAATCTTGAATTTTGTACTCCAACGTTGAAGTATCCTAACATTTACACAATCCCCTTCAAATGCTAAATTTACATTTTCAGCAGTTATTTCAAGCTTAAATTTATGCAAAGAAATTAGGCGAATTTCCAAAAAATTGTGTCACGAATTTTTTCAGTACTCACAAAGTTCCTTCTTCTTGATTATTGTATAATACATACAACCTGCTGATCGGGCAAAATTAAATACACGGTAATAACCGGTCAATTTCAACTATTGTAAAAACGACGTTTTATTTGCA